CCAGAGACTTGATGATTTGCTGTGGGACCTTGGGCAAGCCCCCTGCTTCTCTTAGGGGTTCCGTTTCCCTGCTATCAGTAGGAGTGTGGGTTAGAGGCTTCCGACAATCTCTGTGGCATCCTATGAACCTCCAGAAGGACATAGCCGAAGAATCTCAGACTTGGTGGAAGCTATGGAGGGAGGAGAGATGTGGGCTGGGATGACCCTAGTCTCCAGTTGATTTCTGCCTGCGGGCCTTTCAACCAATCTGGTTTCAAATCCTAGCTTTGCCACTTCACTAGCTGGGTGACCTTGGGCAGGTCATTTTGCCTTTATGGGACTCACTTGTCCCATCTGCAAAATGGAGAATTGCTACAGGGCTTGGAAATGAATTATGCAATTGTTCAACTGTGTGGTGTGTCATGGGCCCCTATTAAATGGTGCTCCCACCACCCACCAAATATTGTCTAAAAGAAGGAGGCTATTATTCAGGTTCTGGTTAAGATCAAAATTGAGCCCCTGGAGGGTTAACGACAAGAGGATGTCAGGCGCTAAGGGGAGGGGGCCATGGCCAGGAGGACATAGGAAGAGCTTACCCTACCTCCTCCCCCACCACCCCGGGTTTCAGATGCTGCAGCTGAGAAGCCAGGGGCCCCGGGCTCCCCTCTGAATTTGCGATGCCTGGATGTGAACAGAGACTGCCTCATCCTGACCTGGACTCCACCCAGCGACACCAGGGGCAGCCCCATAACCAGCTACTCCATCGAGCGGTGAGATGATAACCTCTTGATTGACAGAGCCCCAGGGATAGATCTCTGCCTGGTTTTGAGACCAAGAGTGGAGGCTATGGCAAAGAGGGGACCCCATACCCCACCTGGGAACAGGGCAGGAGGCAGACCAGGATATACAATTTAGGGGCAATAGAAAGGTATCCATGCCTCTAAACCTGTCCCACTGATACCTGGAATTCCAGCCCTGGACACTTTTCAGTGGGAGAGAGGCAAACATGAAATGCTTAAAACTTGAGCACATGTGGACTCGTTGGCTCCTTTCCTCCCTGAGTGACAATGACAGAGTAGCACTGAGCCCAGAGGGAGCAGGCACAGCAGGAGAGAGCCCACAGCATCCCACCTCCCTCCTGGGCGGCCAGCTGAGGCCTTAGCTTGAGTTAACACCTGATCCCACCAGGGAAGTGTTCACAGTCCGCGAGCCCCAAGCTGCATGTCTCATCTCACTGAATCCTTACTATAACCCTTCTCTAAGGGGGACGGGTTTCTCTAGTGCCCACTCTGCAGATGGTGAAACTGAGGTTCACAGGGCGATGACTTTGGCAAAGTCACATTGCTCATTAGTGGTGGGGTCAGGATTGGGACCCACATGTGACCACTGCCCCATAGAAGCAGTAACGTGCTAGGGTACCAGCTGAGGACGATGGTACCCAGAGG